CTCTCTATATATTCTCTGCCCGGAAGAACACTTTCCCCCTAGATCTTCGCATTACTCGTGAAGGGTGGAGTAACCTTCCTTCTCTGAGCAGCACACTTAAAAAAAACAAAAACAAAAACAGGACCATACTTCATTTTTCTTCATATGACTTACTGCTACCTGTTCTAATACATTTATTGGCTTACAATCCATCTCTTACTATAAGCTCCAAGCCAAGCTCCACAAAGGCAAGAAATTGTCTTTCTAGTTGTATTAGAGACAAGAAATTATCTATCTAGCTATGTTACAGAGTCTAGAAGAAAGTCTAGGTAGGACATAATAAGCACTGAAATATATACTGAATAAATGAACTGAAAGTAAATTGAGCAAAAATGTTACCTTATATCAACTTTAAATAATCCACATTAGAGATATTTTATTAATATATAGGTTTCTTAAAGTTTTTTTTTTTTTAAATTTTAAGGGACAGTAGGAGAAAATGTTTTGGGAAGGAAGACTGGGAGATAATTTAAGTTAGAAATTAGAATTTTCTTTGGCTTTAGGTTAATCATCCTCTCCTTTTCTGGCATAAATAGATAAATTATAAATTTAATTAAAATTAAAATAATAAAAGCTTTATAATGAGGACTTTGTGTCCTCAATTAAATACAATTTTCTTCACAGCATTCAAGTTTATGAAACATATTAAATGCCAAAAATTCTTCTCAGTAAATACTCTGTATATATAAAGAAAGAATTTAGATTATAAATATCTATTACACGGTAAATACGTATTTTCAGATCCAACTATGTAGGATACAAGTATTCCACATAAGGATGTACTGATGACTTGGTTCTTTACAAATCTTAAGAAACTCCAAAGAATTTAAATTACTCACCCCTTAACACAAGAGAGAATTGTATCTATAAATTATAAATACTGAGAAAATAAATGTATAGACATTACATAATAAATATTGATCTTTTAGATTTAGCCTTCTCAAGCATGGGCATTTTAATTAAATTTAAATTATCTCTAGAAAGGCATATATAACCATTTTTCTTACTTACTTGCATGTACTCTGAAAGCTCAAAATAGGCCCTTCCAATTTGGCACAGTACCCAACCAGTATTGTAGTGGTGAGAAGGCAGGTGGCTCAAAATATTTATAGCTTCTTTGCAGTTGTATGAACACAAAGCTAAATAACCTTTTCCCATTTCACGAAGAAGGCTCATCAAACCTTCTAGGAGAAAACAATATAGTAAACAAAGGAAAAAAACCACAATAAAACACTTCGGTTTTCTTTTCTTTTTTTTTTTTTTTT